GACCATCAACACAGCAGCAGTGGCCAAAAAGGCTCACCAACGGCTCTACTTCCTCCGCAAGCTGAGAAGAGCGAGAGCCCCCACCCCCATCATGACAACCTTCTACAGGGGGGCCATCGAGAGCATCCTGATGAGCTGCTCCACTGTGTGGTACGGGGCCTGCACAGCATCCTGCCGCAAATCCCTCCAGCGGATCGTGAGGACAGCTGAGAAGATCATTGGCACCTCTCTCCCCTGCCTTCAGGACCTCCACAGCTCTCGCCTCAGAAGTAAAGCCCTCTGCTGGGTGGGAGATCTTGACCACCCGCTACACTGCTTCTTCAACCTGCTGCCATTAGGGCGGAGACTGCGTAGCCTCAGTTCTAGGACCAGCAGACTGTGGAACAGCTCCGTCCATCAGGCCGTGAGGATGCTGAACTCTCTGCCTGCCCCCCCTCAGCCCCCTCTCCCACTTCTGCCACCCTGCACACACTAACTCAGCTTCCTGACACCCCCCCCCCCTCAAAACTGCTCTGGGACATTTATTTATTTTTATGAATAGTTTATGAACTCGGTCACTTTAACAGCCTACAAGCTCACTCTACTGTTTATTGCATTATATTTTGCACTACTGTTATGATCAACTCGTCCTGTTTATTCTTTATTCTGGTAATTCTGGTATTGTCATTTCCACTTAATCACCTCATCAGTACATAACTGTGACTATATAGAACCGGTATGCACACCTTCACTTTACTAAGTTTCTCAGGTTTATACTTTATATTGCACTATTGTTTACTCTGGCCTTGCACATCCATTATCTACCTCTCATCATGTTATTGTCTTCAGTCAGCGTCCCTTTGTCTCCTGTTAGTCACTATTGAGCACGTTGCATCAGAGGTCCTGCTGCTGTTCACTTTTATATTTTTTTATACTTTTTTATATAACTAGTTGTGTTAGTTTATTTTTGCTAATGTTGTTGTTTGCTGCAATTTGAGTAGGAGTGTAACGCAATTTCAATTTCTATGTATGTCCTGTACATATGCAGAATTGACAATAAAAATCAATCAATCAATCAATCAATCCAGCGAGATCTGCATGTGCAGGTCTCTTTCCAGTGGGATGTGCCCAGAAAACATAAAGGGAGGCGTCCATGAGGTATTCGGCTCAGATGAACCACCTTAACAGACTCCTTTCAATGTGGAGGAGCAGCAGCTCAAGTCTGAGCTCCCCATAAGAAGAAGCTCCTCAGTCTATCTCAAAGGCTGAGTCCAACCACCCTATGAAGGAACATCATGTTGGCTGCTTGTGTTCTTGATCTTGGGGATAAGTCTCAGCTACTGAATTTTAGGTCAATATACAGAAAAAAAATGACTGATTTAAATTAGAAATGCGCGATATAAACGGTACATGGTAGAAACTATAGAAATTTAGCCTACGTTAGAGATCTGTCTTCTACCGGCTAACCAAAGTAATGCTTTGTCTCAAGTAAAATCAGAGTTGTCAGATTTAATCGTTACTTTTTTTGAGCTGAAAACTGTGCGCAAGTGGCATTAAAGTCTTTTCTTCGAGGGCTAAGTAGCTAAGCTACAAGTTAACTACAGCCGGCTTGCCGTAGTGTTGCCGGATTCAGACACATGCGCAAAACGCTGTGTTCCATCGAAAGGTTTTTTTTTTCGTTGAAAGTTAAAGTAAGCGTTGGTCAACTTTAGAGAAACCTGCTCTCTGATCTCTGAAAAGAACGCTGTGTTGTGTGATTTTACTGCGAGACCCTCTGGTCAAAGCCACAGACTCATTTTGTGTCAGTTCTCCATTAAAGCAGAAGGAGACGCCCACTAGAGGTTTGGAGGGTGAAGTGTTCAGTGTAAAATGCTGCTCTGTTGCTGTTCATGTCTTAAGTAAGACTGGAAACTGTTAAGAGTTAACAACATATTCTTCTGTTTAAAACATATGGCTGAAACTACATTTGATATCTTTTGCACTGTTTTGCACTACAAGAAAGAAGCCTAATACTTGATTTATTATTTAAAAACTCTCTGGACCTAGTAGTGGAATTTTCTTAATTCAAAATATATGATGGCAAAATGACACCCTATGCTTTTTTTTTTTTTAGCAAGTTTTATACCAAAAACATATTGCGATATATATCGTTATCGCCACCCTTCACAATACATATCGTGATATGAATTTTATGCCATATCGCACATTCCTAATTTAAATCTATTTTTGTGTTTTTCACGATGATCAGCTGTGGCATTCATCTTGATAAGGGTTGACTCCAAAAGTTAACCAGGTGCAGGTGAACATGCAGTGATTATTTTCAAAGAGTTTCATTCAAATTTGTCCAGCAGTTCGTGAGAAATTTTGCTAACTGAAAGAAAAAAATCTGATACCTTGAAAACAAACGAAGAATAATAATTGAGTGTCTCAGACCTTTCACAATAAACAGCACTTTTACAGACTTGATTGGCTGGACTCAGAAGTGTGGAAGTGCAGAGCCCCGACAGTCCATGACGTGCACGTAACAAACAAATGACAGCTGAGAAAGCATCTACTATAGGGATCATAACAGGTCATGTTCGAGCCACTCCTCCCGTTGTGGTCTTTAATCGTCCTTTAATCTGACTTCATTTCTTTAGCTTATCCCAGCACTACTTTTATGTCCTGGTGTAGCCATGCTGCCATCATCTCTGACATCTCTCTGTAAATGTGTTAATTTCTTATGGCACCGTCTGTCAACACAATCAGAGAGGAAGTGGAGGTTCAGGTGGAGTTTTGCTGGGCGGGTCATCCAGTGACATAGCTCCTCTGGCCAGTCAATGGCTGCTGTCTGCTTATATCATCACCTCGGAGAAGCCCACTTGAAGTTGGAAACTCAAGCAAAATGGTCCCATAAACTGGGCTGAGTGGGGGTGGGTACCAGCAGTGGGCAGGCCCTTAACTGGCGCCATGTGGTGCAGAACTGATGAGAGTTGAAACAGTGGCAGATCTTCAAAGTACATATATAATAATTTTATCATCACATCAAAACCCTCTGAATCAAACTGAATTGCGACGTTCCTACAAATTCCCACCACTTATAAATAACCTTGTGTTATAAAACTAATGATGTAAAAGTTTGCAAACAAAAAATATGTAGCGTTACCATCAGCTGTTATGACATTATTTTTAAATTAGCGCTGCTCTAAGAGTTTAAAACTCTGTTCAGTTACAATTACATCAGACTCATCTGGGTTGGAGATATAACTTTTCTACATTAGTACTTACTTTCTGTTTGTCAGCATATTTATACCTGAATGCAGGAATTGTATTAGTGTATTGTGATAATGTAGAGATAATTTAAAGACTTTAAATATTTTAACATCTGACAGAATCTCATCTTGTCTAAAAATGATGCAAAAAAAAACTGGTTCATGCATTTGTCACGTCTAGACTGGACTATTGCAAAGGTTTGCTATCTGTGTGTCCAAATACTTCTTTAAAACATCTTCAGTTGATCCAAAATGCTGCTGCCAGAGTTTTAACTGGAGTTAGTGGGAGAGATCATATTTCTCCAGTTTTAGCTTCTCTCCATTGGCTCCCTGTCAAATCCAGAATTGAATTCAAAATCTTATTTCTAACCTACAAAGCTCTCAACAACCTAGCTCCATCTTATATTCAAAATCTTACTGTTCCATATTTTCCTAACAGAGCACTTCACTCTCAGACTGAAGGCTTACTTGTGGTCCCTAGAGTTTCAAAAAGCAGAATGGGAGGAAGAGCTTTCAGTTATCAGGCTCCCCTCTTGTGGAACCAACTTCCAGATTCTGTCCAAAAGGTTGACACATTGTCCAGTTTTAAGACTGGGATTAAGACTTTCCTTTTTGATAAATCCTATAATTAGGGTTGGCTTGTTACGCTGCCTTAAGCTTAGACTACTGGAGGACAAACTGACCTCATTTCCTTAAATGAATTGTTAAAATTTAATAGTTTTCATTTGATACTATTTCTATCTTAACGTGATTCTTGACCTGCCATTGTGTATCTGTTCCTCTCAAACCCAGTCGGTCGAAGCAGATGGCCTCTTGTCCTGAGCCTGGTTCTACTAAAGGTTTCCTCCTCATGAGGAGTTTTTCCTTTCCACTGTCGCCTTCATGCTTGCTCAAAATGAGAGTTCTGTGATGGAGTTAAATTCAAAGCAGTCTGCTCCTCAGATATATAGTGTTAAATTATTATTTTTATCTATGGATGTTTCTGCTCAGCGCCCTGAGAAGACTTCTGTTGTGACTTGACGCTATAGAAATAAATACAACTGAAACTGAGTAGAACGTTTTGATCCAATCATTTCCTCATAGTTGATGGCTATTATGATCCACTATCAAATAAGCGTGTGGTCAGGACTAACAGACTAACATACTGATTGTATTTACAGATTCAACCTGTCAGATTTAATCATGATGGGTTAAAGTTAACAGCACGCTGCTCCTCTGGCTTCAATGATGCTGAGGGACTCGGCTACTAGCAAACAAAGAGCTGCACATCAGGCTAAAAACACAGCAAACCTTGTACTTGCATCCAAAATTAAAAACTTACCACACAAACTCCTTCACCTAAAAGATTTACATAGTTACAGACAAGCAGCCTAAAGCCCTTCACCTGCACCCTCAGCCCAGTTTCTAGTCGTGTTGTCTCTACATGGAAGCTAACTGTGGTTAGCATTAGCTACTGCTTCACACGAACAAACCCAAATGTGGCGCATTTACACAAACTTAAACCCTTTCACCGGAACTTATGCATAGGATCAAAGCTAAGCATTGAGAAGCAGGTTACATCTGTAGGAAAACAATATTAATAAAGGTGCACGTAACAAAAACTAGCAGCACGCCAAGTGTTAGCCTACCTGGCTGAAGCTAACCTAGCCTTCAACTTCTAAAACCAATTTTGAGTTTCCGAGCTTTCTGCTAAAACAACAAACCGCAGAAACAACATTAACGAGACCGTGCTGAGTAAGGAAAAAATGGCAAAGTACATAAACAACTCACTTTGAAGTCTGTATTTACTCAGATGAACGAGCCTCCCTTTGACAGCATGTTACGATGAACAGGAGTGACGTTTATCGACAGGGATGTTGTTGTCATGGAGACACGAGCCGTCAAACATCTTTATCACAGCAAACAATCACTATTAAAACAGGAACAATAAAAACACTGCTTCGTTCCATTTGGAGTACAAAAAAGAAGAAACTCCAATAGAAAAGCCTTTTTTTTTTTTTTTTTACTCGTATAGAAAGATGACCCGGAAGTATTTTTTGTCAGCTTTAAAGAGCTATTTTATGATTTAGACCAAAGCAAAATGTTTCACTTCTCTGTTTTTGATATAAAAGCACAGAAAATTGTAAAAGTGCTTAGAGAGAATGACTTACTTTTATTGCTGTGGCACAGAAACCAAATAAATAGCGTCTTGTTTTTCCTGAATGGTTGCAGGACGCTGGGAGTTTGTCTCTTGTGCGCATGCGCCAAAAGGGTCATGAACATAAGTGAATGGAAAGGGAAAAAAAAAAACATGTTAATGGGGGCTGCCATATTTAATCAGTGGAACCATAGTATGTGGACCAGCAAAGTCAAGCACTGAAGGCATCAAATAAGTAAATGATTAGCTATGAAGGCAGAGGTCAAGCACAACATTTGTTCTGGTCCCCCAAATGTTTTTGATCAGACTCTGCAGGGGCCAGCATTTGTTGTAGAAGACGAATAAATAAAAACATCAATGAAAGGCCTAGGATAACCTTGTAATGCACATCACCCATTGTCTTTATTGCCAGAGTTTCAGACTAAGATTGTGTTACCTTGAGAAATAACAAAGCAGTTTTTGCCAAACTTTGAAAATACTATTACATTTATGTGCTGGTCTTTACTACCACACCGATATTATTTAAGTATCTGCATCAGTGACCAAGTTATAGGCTTTTTGTTTGTTTGTTTTTGTTGTGGTTTCAGTTGACTGTTGCAGCCATCCTAAATCAATGTGACTCCAAAAGCTAATCTTGTACTGTATATCCAATTATCACTTTTTAAAAGTTTTGCTTAAGTTTGTTTTGTGGCTCAGGATATATTTTGGTAACAGACGCACAAATACACATAGACACATGAGAAAAACTATTGTCCATCTCCCCTTAGGCAAGTTTATAATGCCTGCAAATAATCCTCACAGTGGCCAGGCTTGATGTTAAGAAGTTACAATCTGACCAAAATGTGCAGTTTCTCTGAGTCGAACAGGTATTTCAGAATTAGGTCAATTTAAACAACATTTGTTAACATCAGGGGAGCGTTTTATTTAAGGCACAGATGCTGTACCAGAGAGACATCCCTTTTTAAAGACTTTTATTTTTACTGTAAGTTCTGTCAGTTTCATTTTGATGTTTCTCATTGCTTTTGCCAAGCAGTTTTATTTCTATGTTGGATAAATAGTTTTCATTTTTTAATGAAAAGTTTTGTCTTCATCTCTGTGCAGGAATGTTAAAAGAGAGGTTAAATTTTTTTTTTAAACGATTAAAAAAATGTTAATTAGAAATAGGAAAATTTGCAGGTTTGTGTCATCTTCTCTCTAATCATTTAAGGGTACCACTTTACAATAAGGTTCCCCTTATAGATGGCTAATAAATAGTTTATAGATTTGTTATTAATTCCTCTATAAACACTTCATAAATAATTAATAACTGCTTATTATGCATTAATTAAGGGTGACAGGGAGACAAATCTGACCAGTTTCTTGCCAAATAGTGAGCCAAATCTGTTCACCTATAAATGTAATCTAGAGTTGTTATATTAAACATTTCAGACTAAGTTACTACCTTGTAAACACAATAAGTATTTTTAGGATATAATATTAGTTGTAGATACTTATAATGCAGTGATAAAGTACAATACTATATGCTAAAAAAGTAGAATTGCAAATGCTTAATTTCCATCTGTTGCATACACACACACACAAACACACACACACACACACAAACACACACACACACATATATACACACTGTATATACTGTATGTACAGTACATTTATATATATATGTATATAAATATATATATATATATATATATATATATATATATATATATATATATATGGCAGTTGTATATAAATTTGTAGTCGGACTCATTTTCAAAATGAACTTTGTTTCTCTTGTCATGCTTTGACTTTGCCAGTTTATCAAATAAGGAACGATTAAAATAAATGAGCCTAGATTGAACCTGATACATGATACGGAAAAGACTGATGGGCCAAGCAAGCAAAAGGGATGATTACAACTGTCCCTGTCTGATGACAAATGGCCCTGTATTGTTTGGAATGGAGCAATTTTTTTTTATCACTTTGCATCAAAAGGCTTTGGGTATATCAGAATAGCCATCTTTGTCATCATGCCTATCAGTAGTTTCATCATTTCACATCCTGCCCTGATCCACACCGAGCCTGTGACGTACTCACACATAACCCACACTGAACAAGGAGAGTTTTCTGCATGTTTTCAGTAATTCAACCACAGCTCTCAAGTCACCCCATTAATTTTAAAATTTTCTTATTTTTTTAAACGTGCATAGCAAAGTAAAATGTATTTAATTTAAAGCTCTGTTGTTACAGTTCAGTTCAAGCAACTTAAAGGGACAACACCTTGTAATCATTCAATAAGGGGTGTCATAGATGTTTGTTCATAGTTATGGAACCATTTTGTACTTTGTGCTGTTACAGGGACCCATGACACTGGGATCAACAAGGGCATAAGGTTCAAGGTGAATCTTGAACCTTGAGTAATCACTTTAAATCAACTTTGGCATCTATGCACCTCTGTTGGAGCTGAGAATGAACAGGTAGATCTTGTGGCGTCTGGAAAACTTTGGGAAAAAACATCACTGGGTGAACTTGTGTCAATGGCTTGAACCCAGTGAGGACCTGAGATCTGGTGACATAAATGCAACTTTGGGTCTGGTTGTGCCACTTTAGCTGATGCAACGTCAAATAATTTCCTGGCTTGCAGTTCTAATGAATAACAATCTGGTTACATTAAATAACTTCTTAACCAAATTTAAAAGTAAACTGTTCAAATAGATCAGCAGAGCATGACAAGGCAGAAAACATGACAGATATATGTTAAACGAAGGCCAAACAGTACACTACAAGATCTAAGACATACGCTAAACACTGATAATGTAAAACAACACGGAGTAACAACAGTAGCACGAACATATAAATACACTAATTAACCTGTTGTTGGTCAGTAAACTGACCTGCCGCCACATTTTAAAGAGTGCATAAATGAAGAGTAGTAAAGTGAGGAGAAAGTCTCACCTTTCTTCCTCCATCACTCACACCTGCTACAACTACACAAACTGACGATTTAAGCGCAGCACATTACTCAGAGGAGTGAAATGCATATATTATATGTATATTTGATTTAGGAGGCGCAGTGCAGACCCAGAGAGAAGACACGAGATCTGGAGAATGCATCCTACCACAAGTATCAGTCAGCCTGATGAGCCAAAGGACAGAAGCAATTACGTTCCGAGCAAGAATAACACGAGGTTCAAGAGGTAAAAACATTTCTGTAAGGACATGATTTGACACGTGAGGTTTAAAACCTCATTGGAAAAGGAGTAATTGCAACAGATGTTATTTATGAGCCCAGAAGTAAGTAGTAACAAAATGTCTCTGTGATCTATAGCCTTGTTTCACATTTAGATTCAGCATTTAAATTGGAATATTTATTTACACATATGATGTAAATTCTGTGCCACCATGTTCTGAATGTATCTGTCACGAGACTGCTTTTACATTTCATTTACCGTCTGGGAATCGTACGGTGTTAGATGTTTTACTGTCCCGCTGGCTGTGTCTGACCATGTCTTAATGCAATAAAATATTCTCTGCTTACCAATTACCTTTGAGGCATGCACAACTAATTTTATTCAAGAATGTGTCATTTTCATGTCTGTCCTAAATAAATTAGAAAATTCAATGAATAAAATGTAGACTAAAATATTTTACTGGTTAATAGCGATTGGTTTACAGATGCCCATGAGAGCTAAGACTCAAGGATTCTTGGAGAGGATGGATGGATGGATGAATGATGGATGGATGGATGGATGGATGGATGGATGGATGGATGGATGGATAGATAGATAGATAGATAGATAGATAGATAGATAGATAGATAGATAGATAGATAGATAGATAGATAGATAGATAGATAGATAGATAGATAGATAGATAGATAGATAGATAGATAGATAGATAGATAGATAGATAGATAGATAGATATGGATGGATGGATGGATGGATGGATGGATGGATGGAAGGATGGATGGATGGATGGATGGATGGAAGGACGGACAGACAGACATCTAAGCATATACATACACGTATGTATTTTGTGTGTTTTATATGTAGATATACAGTATATTGTAATTTCTGGCTGCATAAGTTTAATCTTTGTCATGATCAGTTAACACTAAACTGATTTTGTATATTGTTTTTTAGTTTGTGTAATGTAAAGCAGAGTTCTACATTTGTAGCATCTTAGCTAGCACGTCTGTGTTACGCGCCATTAGCTGAGCGCTACTTCGTGTTGGGCTATGGTTTCCAAAATAGTTATTGAATCAAGTGTTTACTTATAAAAGTAAAACTAGATGTTTAACAACTTGTTAAAATACACCAGAATGCAGGTAATGGCATCTACTTTATTCAAAAATTTCTGGGGGAGGACCCCCAGACCCCCACACCAGTGTGTCACCCCTACTCCCACTTTACAAATGCTCCTGACGCCAATGCCCACTGTGTTTTTCAAGCCAAGAAACATTGTCTGCAGTGGGGGCTAAGCACCCCAAAAGGGCAGCTTGTACAGTAGAATCACGCTTGGTGAGGGTACTTTTCTCTGCCGCTGATGTAAGGGACCATTCCCAGCACAGAACCAGCTTTCCTCACCAGCCTGTCAAGTCACCCTGCACCTCTCCTCTTAATGCTGCCTCCCCAACACACAACAGTACAGAAGAGGACAGTAGCTTTTTGTTTGTTTCTTTGTTTGTTGTGGAAAATTTTTCCATCTATTCTTTTTCTTTATTCGCTTTTCCATGTAGGGGGGTGGGGAGCTTGTGTCTATCTTCAGTGG